CATCATCCCTCTCTACCAAGAAAACAAACAGGCCAAAACAGATTACATTTCATACATAAACAGAGCAATTCCAAGAGGGTCCTCACACCATCGGTGCTCAGGCCCTAATAATACAATATATAATACACTCATACAATCAATATAGCCTATATAGCCTATACTTACTTGACCATGATGACGCTTGGTTTGCGCCAGCATTTGTGGCTAAAAATAAAATAATTCTTATTTTATTTCAATCCTTTTCATGCGCCACCACAACTTTTGAACAGTATTTAGAGACTACAATTTCTATTTTACACGACAAAATATAGACTACTTTTAAGCCCATAAACAGCATTTTCTCTAATGGTGCAAAAAGCACTATAAGAAGCACAACATTAAAGGTGTTTAAGCGTTTCACAGCTCATTCATACAAGTTTGCAACGCACTTTAAGACAATTTGCACGTACAAAATACACTGAATGAACGTCACGCTTACAGTGCGGGGTCTTCGCAACTTTTAACCGCTGCCTGATGTCAGCTGAAACGAGACGAGACTCTATTGGAGGCTGTAGGGAAAGGGAGTTCCAGAAAACTTTCGCATATGCCACATCTTCTTGTGACGCTCCATCAAATACCGTGTACAGTTTTTCGATTTCTGAAAGACTGTCTAAAACCTCTTCGTTTAGTTCTTCAGTCATAATAGTTAGCGAGCTTTCTGTTTTAGCCATAGGTTACAGCCACACGAGGATGTGTTACGGTTGCCATGGTGACTAAACGCTCAGACCAGTAAACGGAAGTGCGGGGCCGGGGATTTCGAAAGAAGAGAGGCAACGAAAGAAGAGAGGCAACTCAGCAGAATATTCATTATTTTAAAGGGAATAAAATACAAAATACAAAAGATTTTTTTTAACAGTAAGTTTAAGTTAGGCTGGACAATTTTACAGACAATAATGTTTTCATGTACATTAGGGGAGCGCGGGGCACAACGTAACGTAACACACTTGTTTTAAATACTTCCACGAAACTTGGTGTATTTACTAAGTTAGCCATTTCAACACTATATAGAGAAAAAAATTGCGCCAAAATTCAGAAATCTTTGTATGATATCACTGAACATTTATTAACCATAGCAAAAGTACATTTCTTACTTGAGTTGATTTTTCATCTCTATTTTTTTGTGTTTATTTAAAATTAGACAAATTAAATCTGATATTATTTTATCTCCAATCTGTTGTTTAACAGTTGATATAGTTCTTTAATGCTTCGCTAACTAGCTGAAGACACTAGCAGGGTTTAAACCCCATCAGTTGTGCAGTTGGGGCATGTTGTAACACTGCGTTACTTACAATGTGCCCCTATTAGAAATATGCTATTATATTCTATACTTTTATGAATTTTATTGTGAAAACATTAGAAACATGTAAATAAAGACTGAGTCATTGTTCAGAAATTATTCATTATTTTGTTTTGAACTATGCTGTATAGCTGTGTTTTCTGGTGTGTTTGTTGTCAAACTCAAAAATTAGTTTATTTTTAATTATTAAAAAATGCCATTATTTTATATGAAAAAGTTAATAATTGTATTTTATTAAGAAAATATTTAGGTTTGACTTGCATATTTTTTTGATTAGATCAGATTTAAGCTGTCATTTGGTTTATGTTACAATGTGCCCCTCACATGTTGCAATGTACCCCACCTATGGGGCAAGTTGTTACATTACACTTCCATTCTTTCGGGGTAAATCAAGAAAAAAGTATACACTGTATTAATAAAACAAAACCACATAATTGTACTAGACATGAGGGAAATTAATGTGGGAAAAAAATAAATACTCTAAACCCTAATACACAAACTGAGAAAGTCAAGAAGCGTTACGTTGTGCCCCGCTCTCCCCTACTTAATTGTAGAATGTAGAACTTCATGTTTTAAAGTAAAAATCTGTTATATACCCAACAAGACAATACTCGTAATTGTAGAGTAAAATATTTTTAGCCTATGTGTTTTTTGTAAGAATTAGCTTATAAGAAATTATTAAATCATAATTTAAGATGAACAAAAGTAAAATGGCGTTTCCAGAAATCCCTGATGCGTGTTACTTAAATGGTTGTTTCTTCTTCTTATTATCAGTTATTTTTGTTATCTATAACACTGCACATATTTACTGTATATAAAGGTACAAATCCTATTTAAGCAGCACAAATACGTTTTTATAATAAATCAATATAAAAATATAGGCCAACAGCAATGTGTAAAATGCAGGCACCAAAAAAAAAAAAAAAAAAAACAGACATTTTTTACAGCAAATTTCTGCCTACCACAGCATTTTCTAATGTAAATTTAAAATAATACAATTTTTTATTTTGCAGAGGCAGACTTTTTCTGAACTCAGTTATCAGTTGACAAATTCAAATGTTATTGAACAAATATTTATACAAAAATTAGCAATACCACCAAATCTAATCAATTGCAAAATCAGAAAAATGTGTGATATGTTTCACTTTATTTTCAGATGTATTTCATTACAAAGATCATATTATAAAAACACAGCAAAAACAAATAGTTGTTTTACAACTGGTCTTCACCTGGTAGTGAGGTTAGTGATTACTATAAGGATTGTAATCAATTAACTACACTGCCTGATGACCACACAGTATAGCCTCTGGCAGGGTCCATTTCCATCATTGTTTTATCCTAATGTCTCCAGCAGAACCTGCACAAATCCACCAGAGTCATGTCAGACCTGCATCTCACAAAAGCTGTTCTTAAAATGACAAATAGACCAATATGATATACATAGACGCCGTCAAATAATTGTATCAGCTCTGTGTTTCCTTGTAGGTCGTTGTGTTGGCAGTATGGTTAGTGATTGTAGATTATATAAAACAATCAGCTAACAACACTGCCTACAAACCAACCCCAACAGGTTAATATATCAGCACATTAATCTGCTTGTACCATGTAAACCTAAAGGAAGAAAAGACAAACAACAAAGTCACTTGGCAAAACAAACAATACATTGAAATAAGGCCTATATGTTAAATCTATAATAGGCTACATACCCAAATCGAAGAAAGAAGTAATACCCACTGAATGCTAAGACATAACAAATATTAATAATTTTAGTCTTTCAGCGAGAAGTCACCTGACTGAATTCTTCTGCACTCTCAGGTTTGTGTTCATCTGTTGTTGTTACCACCCTGCTGACGTCACATCTCCAGGTGGGGTTGAATGTGAATATATAGCTACCTCTTTTTAATTATAGGTAACTTTATCTGTCAAATAAAACAATTCATAACTGGAAAACGAAGGTCCTCCTCATAACGACCATTTAAAGTGAGCCAGTCGTAGGCTACGTGAAGAAACTCACCGGGAGCTCTCTGTCCCGTCGTCTTTCAAAGTCCCTCTGCTTTGGATTCCAGCACAAGCTGTCTGTATTTATAGCCAGGGCTGATATTGTATGTTCAAATTCAGCGCCATCTGAGGCGGGAGCCGGTTGAGCGCGAACTACGGCGCTCACCGCTGCTGATCCTGGCGCTATATCTCCTATACAATACAGAGATGCGCGCCGTGCAAAGAGCGAAAATATAAAAGCGTAAAATCAGTGGAATGTAAGCCTACTTAATTGGCTCAAAACCAACGAACTCTTAATAACATTACTCTCACTAAATACAAACAATAAAACTTAATATTTACACTTGTGCACTCCCCGCACTGAGCTAAAGAATATTTTGATTAATCTAACTTATTATTTTTTTATACAAAAAAAGTAGGCTAAGCCTTTTTTAAGATTTACAATTAATAGTAAACTTCCATCAAATTGAATTGAATAATTCTTACATATTGTTCACATTATGAATTAATAATTTTAAGAGTAAAAAAACAAAACAAACTAGAGCTTAAAACATTTCGTATAAATCGTAAACTTAAATTTAAACATATTTTCTTTCTTTCTTTTTTTTTATGAATACGAATCACATAAACTAATGGTCCATTCCCTTGTTCCATTTAGATTTATACAAAATGTTTCATTTAGCTGCATTTTAAATTTTTATTAATTTAAAATTATTAATTCATAATATGGATAACATGTAGCCTATAAGTATTATTCAATTCAATTCAATTTGATTAAATTTTACTATTAATTGAAATGCATAAATCTTGAAAAAAGGCTTACATTTTTTTAAATGGATTGTCATTTTTTTTTTTTTCATTCACGGAAAATTGTCTGACTAGACGTACCGTTCATTTAGGGTGTACAATATTAATGTAAGACCGACTTTGAATGTGCGTTAATCTGTAGCAACAGCTTCTAAAGCTAATCCAATCATAGTTGGAATGATCAGTTTATAATCCACAGTAGCCTAATATCAAAGGATTAAAGTATACATTGCTCAGCCGTTACCTGTTATCATTCCTTAGGTTGAAAGAAACAAAAGTCAAGCGTAACGATGCTTGGAGACAACAAACTGCCTCTGAGGCCCATATCTATGTCAACACTGAAAAGTTATGTTGTTAGCGGTTGGGAGGCAATGCTATACAGTGTTTAGTGGACAATGGCTCTCTGGACAACGTTACCAGAGAGACCATTCAGTCCACGTGAAGACAGGTCTAGGCTTGCCCACAGGGACTATAAAAAAAAAAAAAAAAAAAAAAAAAAAAATCACCACTTCCTTGCAGGCCCAACCTGTTCTTAGGGAACAAGTTTGCTCAACTGTTCTGTGAAGCTAATCAAATCTCTGTATGTTCTCTATATTGTTTTGGTTATCAACCTGGCCAACTAAATTAGGGATGGGTCTATCCAAAACCAATCCGATATCATGGTAATAAATGGGAGTCCAGACAAAAATAGATCCACACTCATTTACAATAGGCTATCTTATTTGTATATTGGTTCAGCATGGGTGTCATTTAATTTTGTTGACATATATGTTTAATTTCTTTGGTAGCTCACACAACGATTAGGAAAACAAATTCCCCTTTGTTGAACCTGAGACTAATGATTAGTTAAGACTTCATTTTGAACATTATTAGTTCCTCCCACAATTTGAAACACCTGTTCAATCTAATTACAGATCAGCACATCCTGAGACATTAAAAAGCTGACTGATGTTCAAAGAGATTGAAATTCTTAGTTGTGGAACCTAATATGACTTTGCATAGCTGAAGCAAAACACCAGAGTGACAGGCCTACTTATCAAGTAGCTGTAATACAAAGCAAGTTTGTTAGTTGTATTTTTAAATTGCCTACTTTTAAGATTTTTAAAAAAACAAAAACAAATTAGCTTGTCTGATTGACTCACCACCTGAAAATGAAGGAAGAGATTGCAGCAACAGTGTTTTTTATTGCAAGACTAGCAAAGAAACATGGTAAACTGGACCGTGTTCGGAGGGAGAGATTTGCTGTGCAACTAACTTCAGTGCTCTTTGAAACTTACAAAAGTCATTGGTACCCAGAAAAACCAACCAAAGGACAAGCTTTTAGGTGAGTAGCCTAATGCTACCTTAACTTCTGAATCAAGTAACTGAGTAATCAAGGGCTTTTTCTTTTCTTAGGTGTCTAAGGATGAACAAAACTCAAACAAGAGACCCAGTTATCGAACGTGCTTGTCGCCAGAGTGACATTGTTTATGAAAATCTTGGATTACCGAAGGAAATGACCATTTGGGTTGATCCGGGAGAGGTGTCCTGCCGGTAGTGCTAAATTTGCTGGCCTATCAATGAAGTGTATAATAGTTTTTATGATTTGATTGTACCACTGTCAAACTTCCAAAACTGAAGTGTTGTTTGTTCTCGAAAGGTATGGTGAGAAGTCAACCCCATTTTGTGTTACCCAGTTGGAGGGTCAAAAAAGAGATGGGGAGTTCTCTCGTAGGATAAATAATGCGGTGGAAAGGGCCTCATCGGACTACCACTCTGGAACCTCCTCTGATGATGAGGGAGGAAACACCAGCATGAGCAGCACAGTGAGCAGCACTGTGAGTAGCAGCAATAGCAGCAGTCTTTCAGTTCCAGAGCCCAAATGCATCCCAACGGTCTCCAACCCAAACAGTGTATACCAGGTAACAAAGTCCATATATACACTTTTCAGTCCCTTAGCATGTCTTTAACCCTACTTGTTGCTTTCTTAAACTTGCACTGGTTTAATTGCTGTTGTTTTCCATCTGTAGTTCAGTGAGTTTGGGCAGCCCCCACCCATGCAAAACTGGGGGAATTACCCTAAAAGAAAACCATATGTTGCTGAGGGCTACCAGCAGCATTCTTCAGGTGGACAATACCCACCTCATAAGAGTTTTATGGGCTACAGGCCCTCCTACGGCTTCTCTGGTCCAAGGGTGGACCGATTTCACTGGGTCAGCAAGAACCGCTCTTAGACTTTAATTTTAATATCACAGCGTGTCATTGTTTTGCTGAGCAGCTATGCAGGCATACGTGAGTTATTGAATATAACTTGATTTAAATGTAATGATTTAATAAATTATTTATGGAGTCATGAGGCAATTTTAAAGTTAATTTTATTAAATGGTTTTTGTGGAAAAGACTTTCTAAATAAAATCTGTTTTAATAGAATTTGTTTGTGTGGAAGTATTTGAAGTTCATGCTTGTGCCACTAGATGGTGACAAATATATACAATATCCATACCTTTTGGCAAAACAGAATTTCTTCTCGCTTGTAGTTTCAATTAAGCTTTTTACGTTCATGACTGATACTAATGGTTTGTAACTACGTTGGCTAAAGCTCAATCTACAGTGATAACTTGGAGAACTTCATACTCTGAGTTTCCCTTCACTTATGCTCTAACTTTTGTACTAATTTAACTTAATTTCACACTGTGTAGCCTACGGAAAGTAGTCTTTCTCTTATAAATGATCTCAGTGAATTATGCGTTGTACTGTATTTGGGAAGTCAGAACTATGTGAGTTGGGAGATGTTTTGGTTTTTCCTTCCCGGGTATGTTTCTGAATTTGACTAGCAGTAGTCTTTCTGTTGAAAAGAAAAAAAGGAGTGTGGTTTGAGATTCAATCACCCTGTAGACTCCTTTTCAAGGCTCGCTCTAAAAGGAGCACTAATGAATTGCAGATGCCTGTGAGGTTAAATATTTAGACTTATCTCCGAATCCTGTGACATGTTTTGACTGGAACTGACATTAAAAGTTGTTACATTTCTCATCAGAACTGATAAGAATGTAATTGTGTTCCTTGAAATGCTGAACTGATAAGAATGTAAATGTGTTCCTTGAAATGCAATGCTTTTTGGATAAAAGCGTCTGCCAAATGCATAAATGTGTAGTGAGTATAGCAACCTACTAAACCTCTCTCAGATTGCATCTTCGTTATTCATGTGAATGGTACTGATGTACCGATTTAGGCGTTTGTCTGCGATCTCCATTAACTGCCACTTGAGTGGAAAACCTGCTAAAATAGTGCAGTGTGTGGGAATTACTTGTTTATTGCATGTAAACATGGTTTATGCTAAAACTCTTTTAACTGCTTGCACTTCATAATTGTTGCTGTCGGCCCTCTGATTAATCACTACGCAATGCATATTTATCAAATAATCTTAATGGATACAAGGAGACATTTAAAAGAAATTATTACAGTACAAAAAAATAGATTTTCAAATTTTTCCTTCAAACTGTAATTATGTAATCACTTTAGGTCTACTTTAGCTGGATATATGAAGTATATATATATTTTTTTATATATCACAATAATTGCTGAAGCTTTAATCAGGGTACTGAATTAAGTTACAAAACTATAGGCCTCCCATGATGATGTATACACTGAAAAAAGTGCATATGCCTTGTTACTCTAATGACCTGTTTATACTTGATCTGAGTCAATAATTTTACTCTTCTGTCATTGGTCAAATGTAAATTAATTTAGTTGAGTGGAAATACAACATTTGTTGGTGTTATTTAAATGTAGCTTTGTTTTTCAGGGAAATAACAGCATACTCAGGGTATCTGTTACGTCCCCAGAGAGCTGGGTACGTATTATAGTGATTCTTTTCTGGCATTCCTTGTGGTTTTTGTGTTTGTATTTCTTCTAACAGGTAAGATGACTTCTGTAACAGTTCCGGCAGCTGATTGGTGGTTCAACGGCTGATTGGATCTTGGAACTCCTCCCGCTCGTCAGCTGGCTGGGCTCTTTAAAAAGCCTAGTTTTGAATCGGTTCACTCTCTGCTCTGCTCTTGCTGTTGGTGTGGTTGGTATTCCTTTGTGGGGATCTTGGTGACTTGTAGATAACTTTATTGTTATCTATTGAGATTATGATTGGAACATTTGACAATGCTTTGACAATGTTTTAATCTGATTTGTTAGCTAGTAAATCTAGTTTTGTGTTCCACTTTTGGAACTTGTGAACAGCAGGACTGAGCATTTGATGTTTGTGAATTATTATTATTATTATTATTATTATTATTATGTGTTAACCTTTTCTTTTTCTTTATTTGTTTATAGGGAGTTGGGGAGTAGATTTAGAGCTACCCCGGGGTATACATCACCCGTAGGCATACTACTTTGTCTAGAAACACCAGCTAGACCTGGGCGGACCACCATCTGTAAGTTTGGTTAGGGCGCCTTGATCGTGTGCCAGATAGGTGATGTGTATAATTAGAATAGGTTAGTGGTGGGGTATCTTTTATTTCTTTTCTTTGGTTCGTCCAGCTCTCCCCTTTCTCCCTGAAAATTATTATTGTTTATCATTCACATTATTACCGTGGCAAAAATAAAAGCTTAGTTTGTACGGTATTTGGAATTTGTGTCCTTTTCTCGCACCACGACTCCATACCTCCTTTGCTGGCATTTGTGGGCCCGAGCGGTGGGTTATCAGGTTCCCCTCCCTTTTGGGGGCTGGAACGTAACAGTATCCAAACATCCCTATCTTTATTTTAAGCTACTGTGTTCACCAACAGCAAAGTTCACCAAAGGGATACTTGTCCCAAAAATGAAAAAGCTTTCAAAACTCGGATGAGGGTGGGTAGATCATTCCACCAGCATGCAGCGTGAATGAGAATGTTCTGGAGAGTGATTTTGTGGCTCTCTGTGTTGGTACCACGAGCCGTCGCTCATTGACCGATCGTAGGCTTCTGGTAGGGATGTAGACTTGTAGTAGTGAGTGGAAGTAGGAGGGTGCTGAGCCTGTGGTCAATCTGTAAGCAAGTGTCAACGCCTTGAACTTGATGCGAGCAGCCAGTGGTAGCCAGTGCAGAGAGATGAACAGAGGAGTGACGTGGGCCCTTTTGGGCTCGTTGAAGATAAGACGAGCTGCAGCATTCTGGATCATTTGTAGAGGTTTAGTTGCACATGATGGAAGTCCAGCCAGGAGAGCATTGCAGTAATCAAGCCTAGAAATGACCAGGGCCTGGACGAGAAGTTGTTGCATGCTCAGTTAGGAAAGGCCTGATCTTCCTGATGTTGTGCATAGCAAACCTGCATGATCGAGCTGTCTTTGCAATGTGGTCTGTGAAGGTCAGCTGATCATCAAAGATTATTCCAAGATTTCTGACCGACCTTGATGGGGTGATTGAGGAAGAATCTAGCTGGATAGTGAAGTCATGCTGTAGAGACGGATTGGCAGGGATGACGAGAAGCTCAGTCTTTGCCAGGTTGAGCTGCAGCTGATGATCCTTCATCCATTCCGAGATGTCCGCTAGACAGTATTTGGACATGGTGCAACAGTATTTGGACATGGTGCTGTGGATGTGTGACTCCCTACACAGTGGGTGAGGTTAATGATGAAGACAACACACTTCAGCAACCCCCTTGGTCTCAAATGTCAGTGCCCATGGGATTTTCAGAGAATAAAGGGTTGTCTTCCCCAGCATCCAATATGTTCAGCTCCAGGCCTAGCAAGTTGCCCAAACCCAGGTATGGTCACGTTAAGGCCGCAATTCCCCAATCCAAGAAACCAGTGTTTGGAAGCAGTGACCAGGTGGCCAAAATAACTGATCCACCAATTGTGTCAGCATGGGTGGCAATTCAAACAGGCTAAGTATTTTTAAAGCATGCTATTCAGAAAATCTCAACACACTCAAGTCTTTCATCACCACTCCAAGTCCAAGAGTTTTGTCCAGAGTCTGTTTTGACTCCAGACTACAGTCCAGCATGCTATTCAGAAAATCTCAACACACTCGAGTCTTTCATCACCACTCCAAATGGCCCGTCCCAAAGTCCGCTCCAGTCCAAGAGTTTTGTTTGACTACAGAATACAGTCTAGTGTAGAGCACAGAGTTTGCTCCAGCCCAGGAATCATCGCCTGCTCCTGTCCCCAAGCTCAGTCTAGAGTCTGCTCCAGTTTCAGAGTCCTCTATGAACTCCCTATATCCTCTAATTGGGACACTACTGTGAACGCAGCATGAAGGAGAAGACAAAGGAGGAGGAAAAAGTCCTCCCTCGAACATCCTGAGAGAATCTCAAATTCAGTTGTCGTCCAGAACTCTCTTACCTCAACTAGGGGCTACCTCAATTTCCCTCCTCCCTGATTGTAAAGCCAATCCAAATTCCCTGCTTGTTTAGTTGTGACCCAAGGAGATTGTTCCAGTGTATAATGCCTGTCCCGTTTCGACTAGGGAGGCTGTTCCCGAGTTCCCTATCAGCCCAGTCAAGGCAAAAAGGGAAGTTTTAGAGTTTCCTACCTGACTGGTTACGACCAGGACGGTCATTCCTGAATCCCTGCCTGTCCAGTGTCGACAAAGGAGCCCGTTTCAGTGATAGCTACCTGTCCTGTCTCGGCAATAGATGTCAGGCCCGAATCTAAAGCCTGTCCCGTTTAGGCCAGGTAGGCCGTTTCCGAGTTTCCTACCTGCCTTGTCACAGCCAAAGAGGCTGATTATGCATATTATGTTTGCCCTGTATCAACCAAAGACATTGTCCTGGAGTCTTGTCTCTGCCCCCTCTCGCAGACAAAGACCGGTCCTAGTTCCCTTGTCTCAACCATGGAGGCCGTACCTAGTACCCTCATCCCGATCATAATAACCTCTTTTGTGTTCTCTATGCATGTTCTCTCTGTTTTGAGATCTTTTGCCAGATCTGCCAGGGTCCTCACTACTGAAGTCCTCAAGCCAGCCGGCAGCCCAGACGCCCGTCTCTCAGCCGGCCCTCCAGACGTCAGCAAGACAGCCAGAACTACTGACGTCAGCAAGTCCACCAGAACTCCAGGCAGTTATAGGTTCATGGGTTTCTTTGTCTAGTTTTATGGACTTTTGTTTTGTATAGTACTTTCTGTTTCACTTGTTTCAGCGCTTCCCGTTTCCTGTTAAGTTCCTGTTTGACTTTTCTCTTATGCTGCGTCCCAATTCGCCTACTTATACTACGGCCTACTTATACTAAAGTACATACTTTTGAGTGTGCAGCAAAAGAGTAGGGAAGCTTTGGGACATACTACTTCGCCATCTTTAACGGACAGATATTTCGCTTAGTTACTTGCATCCTGTCACCGTAAACTGCCCTGTGAATCATCTTGTCACAGTTAAAATCCTCCATTCAATC